GGGAAGCCATCTTATAAAGCATTACCAACAGGGTTATGGTTGCAAATTGAAATGATAGGGAATGGTAAAAATAGCCAGAAACCAAAGAATAAACAGATTGTTAAAAAAAGGAATCATAAATATAACCCCCTCATTAACATAAATTATGCAGCTAAGTTCCCACATTTAGGGAAATCATAGGGATCAGCAATATACCCAAGGTACTACAGATGAGTTTATCCTCAGAAAACCACTTTTATAACATGGTACTTCCCCTGCAAGGTATGAGTTGAGATGGCCCTTGCATCTCCTACCCCATTCTGTCCCCTAACCCCCCAAGTCATGGTGACCCCCTGGCTGCAGCTCCCACTCAGTACAGGGCTGCACAGCCCCAGTCCTTCCAGAGCCCAAGAGATCTCCTCAGTGTTTTGGGATGCCCTGCAGGACCCCCATCAGGGGCTAAGTGTTCCTCCCACAATCCTCTAGTGCACATTGTGGTAATTGTGGGCGGAACACCTTATACTAATTGTGGGTGGAACACCTAGCTACTTTATGCTAATACCTGTGCACTAGAGGACTGTGGGAGCCAGGGGGCTGCTTTGACTCCTTTTATCTTCTTTCTTTGTTGCTGGAGAGAGAAAGAGGGATGAGGCCATCTGAGTCCCCTTGAATTTTCAAAGGCAGTGCAAGTGAGGGGATTGCTTTTCCCCAAGATGGTATGGGGAACTGTGTTTGCAAGATGATGTCTTCTATGGATAATCTTTGCAAGACAGTAATTTTTTCCCCAATTGGAACGCATTACTGTATATAGATTTCAATGCATTCCAATGGAGAACTGGGTGATGTTTTCGCAAGAGTGATTTCCATGGAATGAATTAAAACCATCTTGTGAGGCACCACTGTACTTAGCATTGTCTCTGGCTTCCTCTAGTGGCCAATTCTGATAACTGCACTGTTAGAAATATATATTTATGGGATGTTTCTTTTAATATTTTAAGATTGTGGAGAAGTGGAGCAGTGGATGCATATCCTGTGGATAAGGGGGTCCTACTGTATTAATTCAGTTTTAAAACTGTCTCTTCAATATCCTTGTTTTGCTTTGTAATTTGGACCTGGAAGTCAGTTTGAAAATACCTGGTATTTGTTTTAATATTTTCATGAATGAAGAGGGATCTTAGGGCCACATTGGATGTAGTTATATTGATCTCAGTCTACTTGAGGGAACATCCTTATGGTGGAAGTACTATTTACTGTATTTCAATAGAAGCAGTGCAGGGAGACATCTTGATCAATGGCAGATAAATCCCTCTGGTAATATGTTGTCACCACGCAAACAAGAACTAACATAGTTTGTATGAAAAGATATTTGAAAAGATAATTTACTAGACGGTGTGGAATGACATGTTATACTCTGCAGTAGTTGTATCATTGATATTTCTACTGGCAATTTCTAAATCTTCTCACATTTCTTTTAAAGCTGTGTAAATAGAAATAGCCACCAGTTCTGGGTCTGCTGAACTAAATAAAGCAAACAAACAACAAGCATTCCACAGATCATTTCTGCTGCATAATGACTTGGCAGTAAAATAATTCTCTACTTCTCTGAGAACTTAGTATCATAAAATGTTCACAGAATCCATATGTACAAATATATGTACACTATAGATAGCAGTATATGCCTCTAACCTCAATGATAAGGTGCTCATGAGATATGAAGTACCAAGTTCCTGTCATTCTCTAATAAATTATGTGAGCTTCTGTTTATGAAGTCACTGACAATGCCTGTTTTATGGAGTTGAATGAGTTTTAAATTTTTATTACAACTTAAAAGATTCTACGAACCTAAGTTCAACAGAGTCAGTTAAAAAAAATTATGTGTCCCAGAATCTCCAAACAAAATTAGCGCTGGCTAGTGGTTTTAAATTTTTTTTTAAAGCTACAAAAACTCAGAAAAGCAATGTTTGTAATCTCTTCTACAAACTAGGACATGCACTATGGTTCACATCTTGCTTCTGCTGTGAACTCATTAGATGACTTTACAGGGTGAACTCA